TAGATTTGGTGGATGATGGTGAATGTAATGTATCTTAAATGAAACTGTCACGCTCCTTTCGGTACTATAATCCTTTGGAACTGATGTTATTTTTTAAAAATAGTAATATTTATAGGAAAATGTGACAAATTATAAATTGTTTCATTGTAATAATTTTGAGTCATTTTTTCACGGTTTCTGCTTGTTAGAACCGAAGATCACCTTGATATATTTATCGTAATGTAAGAAATTGTCCAGAGTTAAAAGAAAATAGAAAATTACGAATTCGCTTCTGAGGATCGCACCTATTCTCAGATTGCAATTAAAACGGTAAAGATATAGTTAACATAATGGTTATACGGCATTTTAGTGAGAATAAATATTAATATGGAATAATTAATATTAACGTTTAAGTACGAAAAGATATAGGAAAATAATTTTTAAACATACTCCAGTTATTGTGGAAATTGAGCTACTTCTTGCAGTAGCCGCTGGAGCAGAAGCAATGGATGCCCTGTGTTCGTTGTGATGTGGTTGTTTCTGCAAATTGTGTTGAACAGACTGATACAGTACAGACGAACTGCTTGTCTCAGCTTCGACCGCAACATGTTTGTCTTTCTCTTCTTTGATTGCCTCTTTCTCACTTGCTTCGAAAAATTTTGATTTTGGTGTCGAAGATGTCTTTGACTGTGGGTCTTCCTTCAACTGTTTTGGCGTTTCTGGTTCCGAATCGTCGTAGGTAAACTGTTCATCTGAAAATTTTATTTTATACTTGACAGAGAGGGAGAGAGAGAGAGAGAGAAAGAGAGTAAGTGAGTGAAAGATTAAGAGAGTGAGAGATTGAGAGAGTGAGTGAACGAGAGTGAAAGAGAGAGAGTGAGTGAGAGATTGAGAGAGTGAGAAAGTGAGTGAGAGTAAATGAGTGAGAGAGAGAGTAAGTGAGAGATTGAAAGAGTGAGAGATTGAGAGGGTGAGAGATTGAGAGAGTGAGTGAACGAGAGTGAAAGAGAGAGAGTGAGTGAGAGAGTGAGTGAGAGATTGAGAGAGTGAGTGAATGAGAGTGAAAGAGAGAGAATAAGTGAGAGATTGAGAGAGTGAGAGAGTGAAATAGTGAGAGAATGAGTGAGAGAGAGAGTAAGTGAGAGATTGAGAGAGTGAGTGAATGAGAGTGAAAGAGAGAGAGTAAGTGAGAGATTGAGAGAGTGAGAGAGTGAAATAGTGAGAGAATGAGTGAGAAAGTGAGATAGTGAGAGAGTGAATGAGAGAATAAGTGAGATAGTGACAGAGTGAGAGAGTGAATGAGAGAGTAAGAGAGTGGGTGAGAGAATGAGTAAATGAGTGAGTGAGTGAATGATGGAGAATGTGAGTGTGAGTGAGAGACAGAGATCTCAGCGTTCGCAACACGCGTTAAATTAACGTTTCCACGGTTACAAAGCAACCCGCATATGGCGTTTTCAATGGAGAAAAAATTTCAAAAGGGATTATAATACATTTTAGGTCTCAGAAGTTTACAACGTCCATTCGTTTCCTATCAGAGCGTTCGGTGTTGAATGTCGTTAGAAAGAGTTCCGATTAAAAGCACGACGACTCGGCTGAAATTTATCGCCGTCGGCGATTCTGAATGCATAGATCGATCGAGGGGCGAAAGTAAAAGAAAGGAGGCCCGCTACACGGTGAAAAGACTGCACTTAACGTGCCGGATATATATCGTTCCGCAGGATGGAGTGGAAGTGATATGTGACCACGCTTACCGGCCCGGCTAAACGTACTATTTATTGTTCAGTTGCAGGGCTCCCTTCGAAAATCCACCGACTGTCGCAGACACGCATTTAGCAAGAGTTAGAACTGCTTTCGGATTCTACTGAATTTTTAATGAAAAACCGATACACGTGACTGCAGTTTTCTACCAACTGCCGAATCGATTACTTGATCGATTACCGAAACGATTACGTAACCTAACCTCGACGCGAACATCGAAATATATGTTACTCGATGTTGTTCAGATAACTTGCTTAAGTAACTTGACAAAGTTTTTAATTGAAAATTTCAATTCGAAATTCTAATTCAAATCTAAAATCGAAATTTAAATTTGATACGAGGCTACGTTAAAAAATTGTTACGTCACAGCTTCTACAGTTTGGAAGATGTCAATGTTGGGAGTTCTTAACGAAATTACCTGTAAAAGTTTTTGGATATTTTTGTCGAAATAAGAAAATAGTTTCGATTAAATGGTCGGTGAAAATTAATTTCACGACGTTTTCAAATGAAAAATTTGAAAGTTACGAAAAACGTTTCCGTCAGTAATGGAAGACTCGCCATCTCGCGACAATAGACGCAACTACAGGAATTTTCAAATTAAACTTATTTCCCGCGTAACGAAATGTGTTACGTAAGACAAAAGAAAAGGATCTTAAAGAAATGTATCTTTAATGTTAACTAATATTAACCATTGAAAACTGTGTTTAACGTATAAATAATTGAGAATGTGCGTATTTGTGAAGATATTTTCGTATTTCGACTGTTCGTATAAGAAAGAAAGGACTTACCGATTCCTTGCGTCGTCGGTCCAACAGTTGCAGCAGATTTAACATTGAGACCGTGTGATTCTCCATTACTTTTCACAAATTGCCAATCTTCTCGTAACTTTTTCAACTTTTCCTGGTAAAACAATCACAAAACATACACAACACTAAACACTAAACTAAAAATAAAAATTGTTAACAAACTCCCGCACGCACAGTTCGTTAGTTCGAATAAGACTAAACTGTCAGAGCGCCACCTTTTGAAACAGATTTTTATATGTACTTTTTATGAAGTTGGTAGCCATGCCGTAACGGAATATTTGAATTTTTGAAAATTAAATCTTTCATTTAGAGATTACAAAACGAATAGTAAGAACTTTAAAATTGCGAAAAAAATATTACGATAAAAAGTCGTTGCAATTTATTTTTCACAGAAAATAAAATTCTTTTATTTTATCAAACTGTGTTAAATTGAAAATTTATATTGTCACGTGTAAATGAAAATGAATTTTTATCCTACTTACTTGTAGTTCGACAGAAATAGGTTGTTTTGCAGACTCGCATTCTTTCTCCAAATTGGTGTAATTCTCTAATACATCCTTCACCTCCATTTCTCGATCTTCAACTTTCATCTGTCGTACAAAATATTGGAACGGAATTTTTTACACGATCCTTTATTGCGATAAATTTCCACACTTACCATTACATTGTTAATAACTTCGTTCCGCTCATGTTGGTGTAATTCTCGAGATATATTTATTCTCGTTCGAGTTTCCATGACCCACGCCATAACAACATCTAAAGTACAAATATATTTTTTAAGAGACGCAAGTTTATTTTCAACATATTCCCGATGACTGGAAAGACTCGTATTAGCCTAGAAAAATAATTTAAAACATTTTATTAAATTTTAATCGTTCTATAATTTAGCTATACATGATTTCGATTTGTTTGAAATAAATTCTCATTAATACCTTGTCCATATCAGCAAGTAACGAGTTACATTCATCTTCTCCTGGAAGAATACCATTTTGGTTTATTAAATTCTGTAATGCTCTTTTTCGAGAAGAAAGTTCTTCTTGTCTGGCCTGAAAAATTTGTATTACTTTATATTAACGTAAAGAAACGTTAGTTTGTATTTAATAAGAAAAGAAGCGAAAAGTAAGAGTTCATAGCTATTTATGTCTTGGCACACTTCAGTTTGTGCAGTCATGACATGGAAGATATTATTAGGTTCCGATTCAGTTTATTTAATAACGTTATAGCAGTCATTGCCTCAAGAAAATTCAGATAAAAATTTTAATTCAGCGATACTAAAAACCACTAATTCGTTTTATATATCAAAATTATACAGTGACCTTATAAACTAAACTAATTAGACAAGGTGTTCAAAATACATAAAGTCAATTTCGTGACGTAAATATTAATGTATGATAAATATCTATCTATTCGTGTAAAGTTTTAATTGTTTGAGCAATGCATGAACTTACCTTAATTAAAGACAATCTTATTGATAAGGAAGTTTCATCTGAAGGATTTGCTACTGACACTAATAATGAATTGATTTGTTCCAAAATATTATAAGCACTTTCTAAAATTCTACCTTCGTTATTCACTTTCTTCTCCATAGCAAAATTCCTTTAAGAAAAAAGAGAAAAAGTTATTAT